CAGAAATGAAAGGCTGACTCTTGAACAATGAATAGGAGACTGAGACAGGCAGAGGAAGGAAATTCCAGCCAGATGAAATCGCCCAGAACAGAAGATAGGGAGATACTTGGCCTTTTAGAGCGCCAGCAAAACTGGGTGGATCTTAAACTTCGTCCAGCCCCTTCATGTGGCAGGGATGAGGACTCGAGTTAGGCACCAGATTAGAGTATCCAAGGGCTGAACCTTCACAGGCAGTGAATTTTCTGCTTCACACAGCATTACACATCATAAACCACTAGAATTTTTTAAAAATATATATTTTATTGATTTTTTACAGAGAGGAAGAGAGAGGAATAGTCAGAAACATCAATGAGATAGAATTAGCGATCAGCTGCCTCTTGCACACCCCCTACTGGGGATGTGCCCGCAACCAAGGTACATGCCCTTGACCGGAATCGAACCCGGGACCTTTCAGTCCGCAGACTGACGCTCTACCACTGAGCCAAACCGGTTTCGGCAACCACTAGAAAAAAAATTTTTTTTAAAAATATATTTTATTGATTTTGTACAGAGAAGGGAGAGAGATAGAAACATCGATGAGAGTCATCGATCAGCTGCCTCTTGCACACCCCCTACTGGGGATGTGCCCGCAACCAAGGTACATGCCCTTGACCGGAATCGAACCTGGGACCCTTCAGTCCCCAAGCCGATGCTCTATCCATTGAGCCAAACGGTTTTGGCAACCACTAGAATTTTAAAATTTATTTAAAAAATATATTTTTATTGATTTCAGAGAGAAAGGGAGAGAGATACATCAGCGATGAGAATCATTGATTGGCTGCCTCCTGCATGCTCCCTACTGGGGATCGAGCCTGTAACCTGGGCATATGCCTTTGACCACAGTTGAACCTGGGACCCTTTTGTCTCCAGGCCAATGCTCTATCCACTGAGCCATACCTGCTAGGGCAACAACTAGAATTTTTAAGGATCAAATAAATGCAAGCACCTAGACAGTGCCTGGCAAAGTTATTTCTTAAATTTTCTTTCAAGTCTTTAATTTCATTAAGCAGTGCTCAGATCCCTTACCTAAGTTATCCGGTTAAATGGCTTAGGGACAGCAAGAGGGATAAAGGGGAGCAGGTTTGGGGATGTTATGTAGGTTATGATGAGGTTCAGGCAACCACAGACAGTAGAAAGAAGAGTGTATAAGGGGTGAGTTGACACCTCAGTCCTGAACAAGGTCAAGAGAGGATGGGACTGAAAGACCAGGTTGTAGACAAAACATTGAGTTTAAATTTAGGAGGGAAATGATCACAGGCGATAACTCAGGAAAATTGTCCTAGGAGTGAACTGCAGTTAAAGGTCAGGTGAGCTTAAAAATTAAAGGACACTAAGCATCGATGATGCAACTGACTCCACACAATGGAACTGGATGGTCTTGGGTGCCCAAATTCTCAGTGAGTGCGGGAGATACAATCTGAATATGGGTCCAGATTACTTGGAACTAAGAGTGTAAGTCATGCTCTGGCTGGGTGGCTCAGTTAGTTGGGGCATTTCAGGTGTGATTCTAGGTCAGGATGCATACCTAGGTTGTGAGTTAAAACCCCTGTCAGGTCACATAAGGGAGGCAACCACTTGACGTTTCTCTCTCACATTGATGTTCCTCTCTCTCTTTCCCTCTTCCTCTAAAATCAACAAACCTGTCCTCAGGAGAGGATAAAAAAGCATCTGGCTGGGGGTATATAAAGCAGAAGTGCTAATGTGTTCTGTGTGGGGAAGGGATGGAAGGAGGCAGTGATAAAGTACAAAAACTAACTAGTGAGAAATGTTTGGGGAAAAACAAATGTGACTTGAGAATCGTAACAAAAGTACAGCCCTTTAAAGGAAAAGAGGGTTTGACCAAAAGATAGCATTTCCCAAACTTAGCCCCAAACAGCTTTCATGATGTTAAGGTTTTATGTCCCTTACATTTTTTATTTTTATTTATTTTTTTAATTGATTATGGCCTCACATAATTGTCCTTATTCCCCCATTCCCATCCCAAACCCCTCCCTAGATATTGCTCCCCCCCCAACCCCCATTATCCATGGCTACTGGATAGGCCCATATGCATGCACACAAGTCCTTTGGTTAATCTCTTCCCCTTACCCCCACCCTCCCCTACTTTCCCTCTGAGGTTTGAGAGTCTGATCGCTGGTTCTTTCTCTGGGTCTGTTTATGTTGTTCATTATTTCCTCTAGATGTATGAGATCATGTGATCCAAGAAATACCCTTGTAAGAACCTAAACTGCAACAAGCCATAATGGTTATGCTGAGAGGCAAAATGAATCAGTCTGTAGTGGGTTCCTTTCTGGGCCAACAGTTCTTTTGAGTCCCAATTTCAATGCCAGATAGTTCCTTATGTGTACATGCCAGCCCTGATATTTCAGATCTGGCTGGTGGCCAAACGGTGGTGATGCAGGTCCGCCCGTCTCTGGTTTTTTTCTTTAAATTGCCCAGTTTTCCTTTATATATTAGAAACATATCTAAGAAAGTGTATTTATAATAGAGAAAAGTATATTTAAATTTCGTGCATGGAAGGTGGGTGGGGGTAGTTTTCTCTTAGCCCAGCCTGCATCCTCTCCAATTGGATATCCCTCTTACAATCTGGGACTGCCGGCTCCTAACTGCTCACTTACCCGCCTGCCTGATTGTCCCTAACCCCTCTGTCTGCCTGATTGCCCATAACCTGCCTGCCTGATCGCCCCTCTGCCTGCCTGCCTGCCTGGTTGTCCCTAATTGTCTCCCCGCCCCCCTGGCCTGATCACCCCCAACTACCCTCCCCTGCAGGCCTGATCTCACTCCCAACTGTCCTTCCCTGCCGCCTATTACCCTTAAACTGCCTCTGCCTCGACCCCCACCAACATGGCTTTGTCCAAAGGAAGTTGGACATCCGGAAGATGGCCTGTTGACCCGACCTAATTAGCATATTACCCTTTTATTAGTATAGATTATATAGGATAGGATTGCTTAAATGGGGGAAAGCCTTTCTCAGCAGGTGATGCTCTTTGCAGACAAACATACATAATCCCTGTATCTGGACTGATAGCTAGCCATATGCATTATACTGTACTGCCAAACTGGTTATTAAAAAATTGAACCACTTTCTTATACGTTACATCCAACAGCTGTTGCCCTTAACCCCTCCTCAGCCCCTACCTTAGGCTCTGACTTCGCAGTTCATCCAGTTTAGGTTCTGATTGGTTGGTTTCTATGCCAGTCAGCATCAAAAGCTATGCCTCCTAGGCAGTCATTGGCACTTCTGGGAAATCCAAACAGCAGGCTGACAGCCGTTTCTGTCGGGCCTGACCCCAGGCCCCGGCAACAGCTGTTGCTAAGGCCCTACCTTTCTCTCTGGGCCTTGGCAGCAGCTGCTGTGGCTGCAGATCAGGCCCTGTCTCTCCCTGGGCCTCTGTAGGCTTGATCTGCAGCCACCGCAGCAGCAGCAGCAGTGAGGTCGTTAGGTCTCTGGCCGGCCACAGGTTAACGACCTTGATGTGCCTGCCCTGCCCGCCTACCCGCTGCCAGCCTTGTTGTGATAGAAGCCTGTGGGATGCAGGGGTGGGACCGAAATTCCACACGCTTCCTAGTGACCAGTAGTCCATCTGGTCATTCAGCTCGTGATGGCCCTTGGCTGCTATTAGTATAGATGCCACCAGGAATCACGTCCCAAAAACTGTACATAGTATTGGAGTCACACACACTCCGAAGACACTAATTCGAGGCAAGGAGACAGGTTACTAAGCCAACTGCTGCTGAGGTGCATCCCTTCTCCTCCCACCACACCTTCTTAATCCGTTTATGTTTGTCTCCAAAGTGTCCTAAATCCAAATCCTCTCAATAGCTTTTCCAGCCCACACTCCACCTTCCTGAACCGTAGCCATTCAGGAGATCTGTAAGTTGTATGTAGTGCTTCCGGACCTATTGCTGCTTGCTCTTATGGACTGGGCACAGGTGCTATGTTCTCTTTAGCTGGCACTTTACAAAGTCCTTAATACTCCTTCATCAGGGTTTCAATAAAAATACATGACCATAAACAAATCACAATTCCTCATCTCTAAAATTCAAGCACAGAAAAAAGAAAAACCCAAAAAACCTTCAAGTCCAAACTTTTAATGACAAAGATCTTTTGCTGGGCCAGTGTGGCTCAGTGATTGATCATCAACCCTTGAACCAAGAGGTCACTAGTTCATTCCCAGTCAAGGCACCTGATGCAGTTGCTGGCTTAATCCCTGTTGGGAGTCATGCAGCCAATTGATGTTCCTGTTTCATTCAAGTTTCTCTCTATCCCTGATCATTCCTCTCTCTAAAATAAGAAAAGACATATTAAAAAAAAAAAAAAAAAACAAAAAAAAAACCCTTCTAGATTCATTCAACTGAATCTCCAATTAATGCCGATTTATTACTTCTGGCCACCTACTACCTGCCCCAATAAAAATATCTTCTAGGTTTACTTCAAAATTCTGAATGTTCAATTCACCTTTAAGGCTCAAATGGTATTTTAAATAGGGAAATGGAAGGAGAAAAAGACATGACACTTTATTCAAATAATGCAATATTCCACATTTGAAAAGTTTCCTGAAAACTTTTATTGTAATCAAAAAGTGACATAACGGGTTGTAATGAATTCAGCAAATCATTCTGCTGATATTTTAGAACTGATATCAGCTTTTGCCAGGCAATTAAAAAATTCAAATGTGAAAATTTCACAGTACAGTAAACTCCACCCCAACTAATTACTGGTGGTTAAAAATAATAGGTCCTAGCAAAACCTCTCATGTTACATGGTCACAACTCACAATTCTGTACAAAAGTTCGTGTTATAAAGCTCTGATGTAAAAATCAAATAATCAAGCAGCAATATTTTAAGTGCAGCACAGGGTCTTCCATATCATTATTTACAAGGCTTGAATCTCTTTACATTATAACAAAATTTAATACAGATGACTTAGTAATTAAGTCAATTTTAAAAATCTGTCCTTCTACACAGTGACAGATTTCACTTTTTGGTCATCTTTTTCCTTCTCCTTCTCCTTCTCCTTTTCTTTATCTTTATCTTTGCTCTTCTTTGATTTCTTTTTCTTGTGTTTGTGTTTCTGGCTTTTTTCCAATTCTGCTTCAGGACCTGCATGCTTCTTATGCTTCTTATGTTTTTTATGTTTCTTGTGCTTTTTCTTTTCCTTCTTTTTCTTCTTCTTCTTGCTGTCCTGACTCTCTGCCGAGCTGGCACTGCTACTGTGGCTTCGAGTTTGGCTTCCAGAAGGGCTGTGGCTTCCACTGGGACTAACACTGGGACTGCTGTGACTCTGGCTCCTGGTGACGCCTACCTGGCTGGCTGCTGCTGTGTCTGGGGTCTCTTTTACTTTCTCTACGACTTTATCTTTCAGTTCCTTAGAAATTTTCCCCGAAGTATCTTCCTCTTTTATTACTGATGCATTGCTTTCACTGTCACTTTCATTATAATCTGGTTCAAAAGCAGCTTCATCAGTTTCTCTAGTTAAGTCAGAGCAAAGTCGAGAGGAGTGACTTAACTGGGGTTTAGGCTTGGTAGCACTCTTATCAATTTGCACAGCAACCTGCTCTTTTTCAGTCTGTGGGTCTGGTGGATTAAGGATCTGAAGTAATTTATTGCCACTGGACTCTTTACTGTTCCTTGTTTCTAACACATGCTTCTCACGATCCTTACTGGGATTTTTATCTACAGATTTTGTCTCTTCACTTAAGCGTTTAGTATCAGAAGTGGCTTTATGATCATGAGGTTTTTTGTCTCTTGAGGGACTAGAATTACTTTTTTTGGAATCTCCTGTTCCTTTTTTAGGCAAATCTCTTTCCTCCTTTGGCTTAATTTTCTGTCCAGATGCAGAATCTTTGCTCCGAGAAGGAGAGTCTTTTCTTCTTGATTCATTCCGTTCATCTCTTCGTTTGGAACTTGAATATTCTCTGCTGTCATAGTCGGATTTCTTGTCTCTACTGGGAGTAAAGTCTCTACCTGAGGAACCTCTAGTGGAATCATGCTTATCTGAAGTTCTAGATTCTTTGGAAGATTGAGACAAACTTTTAAAACTACCTTGTTCATTGAGACGGTCCAAATTACTATCTTTCTCTGGCTGACTGCTGCTCTTCCTCTTTTCAGGATTTTCCTTCTCCAACACTGAATGATCTCTCTCTTTGGTTTTCCCTTTTTCACTAGATACAGAGTTTTTTGAACCTTTGACCTCGTGTTGTATGATTTCATGGCTCACTTCCTTGGTGAGTTTTGGAAGCTTCTCTGCTGGCTCGCTTTCTTTTTCAGTATACTTGACTGTATTTGATGGTTTAGTGCTAACATTTTTTATAACACTGGCAGGTTTTCCTACACTTGATACAGGCTGTGTGGCTTTAACATCTTCTTCCTCAGATTCAAAGTCATCTTTATCCCATTTGGACTGAGGAACCTGAATCATAATAATGACATCTTCAGCAGGAGCTGTATTGTCATTATTATATTCTTCCATAGTTTTGATAACAGTTCGCTTTGTATCTGTTTTTTCTTCAGATTTTCTCACAGGACTGCCTCCGGTTGAACTCGTACTAAAAAGAAATAAAGTATTTTTCAATTAATGAAGAATTTGCTTTTATTAAAACACTGATAAGTATAAAAAGGCTAACATGTTTTTTTTGCCCTGGTTCATGTGGCCCAGTTGTTTGGGCATTGTCCCATGCACCAAAAGATTGTTGGTTCAATTTCCAGTCAGGGCACACAGCCAAGCTGTGGGCTCAATCCATGGTGTGGGGTGCGTGTGCATGCATGTGCACGTAGGAGGTAGCCAATTAATGTTTTGCTCTCACATTGATGTCTCTCTCTCTCTCTAAAAAAAAAATCAATGAAAATATTTTTAAAAACGTTTAACTTTCAAAAGGGATGTCTACTCTAACAGATATAAATGACTTAAGCAATGATTGCATAAAAAAGTGACTCATGCCTAAAACTGACATAAGCTTATCTTTAAAGTAAACCAGCCCAATACCTAGTATCAAAACACATTAACATATTCTGCTTTTAAAAAAAATCCCCTCCCAAAAACACCCACCCACCCACCCATTCACCCGTCCATATCAAATACCTAGTATAGTCCACAAGAGTGGAGCTGGATCCTTCAGTTCCAGTTACTTTTCGTCTGACCTTTCCTTTGACTTTTTCTTGTTTAACTTTGCTAGATGTTGACTCCAATTTTTCAGAGGTCTCTTTTGTATTAGATATATTTTCTGTACTTCCAATTTTTTTACCAGTTTCTCTGTTGAGCTTGATTTTTTTGGTTGGGGCTGTTGATGATGAACTTTTGTCCTTTTCAGGGGTCCTATCCATCTTTTCAATATCAGGTTCCATTTTGCGTTTTGGTGATGGCTTCAGTATTTCAGTTACTTCGAGTTTAGAGATTTTCATTGAAGATGATTCAAAATCTTTCTCTGCACCTTTTTCTTCAGTTTTCCTTTTTCTTTTTTCTCCTTTGCTGTCAGGAGGCTTACTTTTCTCAGTAGACTTCTTGGCCTTGTCTTCCTTACTAGTTAGTTTTTCTGATTTCACATCTTTGGAATAGTCTTTCTTCACTTTTTCCTCTTTGACAGGTTTTGACTCTTGGTGTTCTTTTGCTGACTTAGAGTGAGCCTTTCTGGGAGTGCCAATGGCCTTTTCATCTTTTTGAGAGGAGGAGGATGATGATTTAGCACTGTCAGTCTTTGGAGTCTCCTCTTTGGCTTTTTTAAGTGGAGGTTCCGATCGAGGAGATTTTTCACGTTCTCCCTCTAGTTTTTCTTGAGATCCCTTAGCAGGTTTTACATTTTCTTTTTTGGACACAGAAGATCCATCATTTTTTCGTTTGGTCTTGTCTCCTTTTGCTTTTGGCTTATCTTTCTCTCTCCTGTCCTTTTCAGACACTGATTTAAAAGTGATGGATTCTGCATCCATTGGTTCATCTCTAACTGGTGTAGCATCATCTCTACTCGGAAGAACAAATAACGAGTCTGTTTTATTTTCTTCGCCACTTGTAGGTTCCCTTGTTTTTCTAGAAGGTTCTAATAACTCTGGGTTTAGAAAGCCTTCACTTTCCTCCCCCTTTCTTCGCCTTCGATGTTTCTTATGTTTACTTCCTTTACCATCTCCTGCAGCACCATCGCTCTCCTTCTCTTTTGACTTTGTACTATCCTTCTGATTGTGACTGTCTCTTGTTGAAAGCTTTTCTGGATAGTTGCCACCACCTATGTTTCGACTTCTATGACTTTGTCCACCCGAATAATCTTCTCTGCGGCCCCTTGTAAAGGGAGAATTCCTGATATTAAGTGGTAATAACCTCTCTGGAGAAAAGTTCTCTCTATTTGCTGATGGTCGAGGCTGTGCTCCAGCAGCATAACCTTTGTAGTATTTTTCATACCACTCCCTGTATTTTCTCTCCCATTCTCGGTAACGCTCTTTTTCAAATGGGTCTCTAAAGTCAACAGTCCTCCCATAATAAGCTTTTATGTCATATGGTGGTGGAACTTCTCTGTATCTGTTAAAATATTCACGTTCTGTTTCCCCTTGTGGTACAGTACGTTTATTTGGAGACTGTCCCCTAAATGCTTGAGGGGATCTTGATCGTGAGTGGTATCGTCTATATAGTGGTGACCTGGACCTAGATCGATGATATCCATGAGATCTAGACCGTGAGCGGTAATTTCGACTCTTGCCTCTGCCTCTTCTGGGATATGGAGGTGATCTCGAATAGGAACGAGAGTGTGAGCGGCTAAATGATCGAGAATAAGAACGTGACCGCGTTGAACCAGATCTTGATTTAGAGTAAGTATAAGAACTTCTGGAGTATGAGGAACCACTATAAGGAGATTTAGACCTAAAAACAAAAAACAAAACAAGTTGGACAGTTGAGAAATATATACAAAATAAAACAGACTCTCAGATTCTAGTATGCTTTTCCTTAGGGTTCAATCTTTAAATCAAATTTCATCTTGGATGATTAAAAAGGCACAGTGGCCTTTATTGGAATGAAATAAAATACACTATGCAAAGGTCAGATCAATCATTTGTTACAAAACAAAAGTGAAATCCTAACAATTAGAGTGAAGTGCATTAATGTACCGTGAGATATATGAGCTAATAAACTTAACATTTAAAAAATTGCCAATTACATTTAAATTTTACTTGCTATTTGCTCATTTAAGAACGAGCAATTTCTTTTGTCCTATGTTGGCCAATATAATCTAGCTTTAAAAGAAACCGCATTTCAAATGTAAGCTTAAAAAATAAGTCTTTTAAACAAACCTCCAGGGAAATTTTTATACTAATTTTTTTTTCTATCAATAAAGCAACTTGTGTTCTATCATACATCATAATTACACAGGTTAATGTTCCAGCAAGAAGCTGTAGCCTTAAGTAACAGTGTCCTCAGATATGTGCTTTTGGCTATTCCCCTATTTCTTTCCTTCCACAAACATTTCCCAATTATTTCACACTATAAATAAGTTTAAGGGACAAGGGTACTTTAATCCCCAGTAACTGCTAGTTCTACACAATAGAATTGAGACATTATTTCAATAAAAGGATATTGGGAAATAAGCTACGTCTCCATTTCTATATATCTAGACCGAATCAGAAAAACTCTGTAAGTGCAGTGTTAATTATATCCATAGCTAATCCCTGGATAGGCAAAGTCCCATTTGTAATTCTGTTGTGAAGGCTTGCAAAACACTAACCTGGAAAATGAGCGCCTACGCTCCTTTTGAATCTTTTTGTATTCCATCAATTCCTTAGCAAAATCATTTGTAAACTCATCTAGCTTGGACTTTTTCTTTTCCCTAGTAAAATAAAGTTAAAGAGTGAAAGTTAACAAAAACCATTAAGAAAACTAACAAGACAAATGTAATTAGACCATGAATGAAATGAATGAAATTGCCATTAGTTTTCCACTTTAAAACTACAGATAACTAGGAATCCCTGAGGAAGTTGCTTGTATGGCTTTGGTTCGATTTCTACGTGATTTTTTCTTGTACTGAATGGAAACAATGGAAAATGTTTCCATAGATACTGCTTAAGGTTACATCAGAAAATGAAAGTGTATAATTTCAAATGAACACACTTACTCTTCTTTTAGCCGTCGCTGCTCTCTATAGAATTCTTCCCTGGACAGAGGTGGTGCTTGTGTTGTTGGGATGGCATTTGAATGAGCAGTCTGCACTCCTGATGATACCCAAGGTGTTGATAAATTGGCTGGTGCTGGAGGGAACCCTGGGGGAGGGACACTATACCCAGCAGGTGGTGGCTGGCCAGGAGGAAACTGAGGAGAAAACTGTGGTGGAGGAACACCTGGGGGGAGAGGCAGTGTATGTGGCGGAGGTGGATACAGAGGAGGGGGTGGAACAGGCACAAAAACTGGAGTTGCTGGTAGTGATGGGCCTTGAGTTCTCTGTGATCTTTCGCTGTGGTGTCGTCCACGGTTTATACTTCTAGAGAAATAAAAATTCCAAGATGTTATTCCTTTAAACTAAAATCACCTGAGATAAGTAAGCGTGTCTTTTCTATCTTTAATTATTTTCAAACTTTAATGAATGGATTAGAATAAGGACACTGATATCACTTATATGTACCATCATTTACATATAAAAATAATTATAAAGACTACCTAAGGACTGAAATAATGTATACATTATACAGCCAAGGTAACTTAGAAGTTCTCTTTTGTAGAGTTCAGATTTATTATCACCTTACAACTATCTCATTAGTTCCTAATTTTTCCTTTAAAGGAACTAGCTGACAGGTTACTACTTCTGTAATATAGGCACTTAATTGTTCCCAAAATGTCTTCCCAGAGCAAAAGTTTAAAAGAAGGAAAAACACTTCCTATAATCTTTTTGAGGGAAGAAGTGGGTAAAGACCCTTCAAAGTAGAATAAATTACTAGTTTTAACATTTGTAATGAGTAATTGAAAATTACACTGCTTTCTCTCAAAGGTTTAGGTCAAATAACAGTGAAGCCCAAAATTTCTGATTTGTGCCTCATCGAAGTAATAATGGCTTCTTTAAAACTGTGGGGTTCTTGCCCTGGCTAGAGTGTCATTCCATACACTGAAGGGTTTCGGGTTTGATTCCCAGTCAAGGCACATACCCAGGTTGCAGGTTTGATCTCTTGTTGGGCCACTTGCGCGAGGCAACCGATAGATATTTCTCTTTCTCTCTCTCTCTTCTTCTCTCTCTAAAATCAATAAAAAACAGCCTCAAGTGAGAATTAAAAAATATGATAATAAGATAAAATAGTGGATTTCTTTCTGTTAAACTAATGATTTTAAAAATTATAGCTAATACAAAGTAGTGGCAAGAGGGGTGCTTAGATTTTAAGCCTCTTTTCAGAGTCTGATTTAGTAAATATTATCTTCCATTAATGTGATCTATATGAAGTATTAGTTAACTTTTAGAAGCTTAACAACTCTTAATGGAGCACTAGAAAATACAGTAAAACACTGATATAACGGATTAATTTGGGCGAGGGGCTGTCCATTAAAGTTGGAAGTCCATTATACAGTTAAAAATAAAGTAGGTTTTTTGAATATGTCTGACAAAAAAAACTGTTGTTTTATAGACATGTTTGTATATTTAAAGTTAAGTATGCATGAAAGTTTAATTTCACAGAAAAGTCTTTAAATTTATAATAGGTAAAGCAAATGTGTGCATTCACCAGTTACTGAGGATAAACAAACACACATGCCTGGGGCATGGCTTAGCATGTGAGAACGTGGGCTGGCATGTGTGAAAACTGCTGCAGAAAATCATGCTACATGATAACAATCATGCAATACAGTATGGTCAAGTGTGATTTACAAGCAGTGACTCTTGCACTTAAAATGTAGACTTACAATTGTAGGTATGTAGTGTTTATTTAGGTTGGCAAAATTACTAGTGTTTTTTCCAACAAATGGCCTACTTGGTAAAATTTGTTAAAATTTATGGTGCATTAGTAACAAAAATAACCTGTTAACCTAATTATAAACAAATCTTAGTTAAAAACATTTAAAAATTAAGAGTATTAATTTTCATCTATGACCTACAAACAGGAAATTTTGTTAAGTCGAGGTCCACAAAATTGAAGGTTTACTCTACCTTTACTAATCCCATCATAAAGGGAACTTGGAGAACCCTTTACCCTGGTGGTGTGTGAGTATGACCTATTTACTTCTTAGATTAATGCTGCTTGTTCCCATGCAGGGCACAAGCCCCTAACGTTCTCCTTGTCTCTTCTTTTAGGAAAGAAACCAAAAAGATTGGGACAATTGAGTCTAGAAGAGAGATAAATACAATGCTACACACTTGGAAACTTTGGGTGCTGAGCTGGTTAACTGAAACAGGATCTGGGCCTTAATTACTTTCTTCTAAGAGTAAATATAAGCCAACAATCTGCTGTGTGCTGATAGGGAGAAGGCAGTTGATTGATGTTGGGAAGGAGCCTTAAAAACTGTAATTAAACTACTAATATAATCCATTTTTCCTAGACCTCTTAAGGGCAACTACTGAGGACTTAAGTAAGTGTAAACCATAACTGTGCTTTAATTTCTCTGTGTTATATTTTTGAGTGTATCATCAGATTAATGTTTTTTAAGAATTTCAGCATGCCTACCTGTAGCAACTCCTCTCTCCCCTCCTAATTTGCTGTGGTGGAGAAACCAGATATCCAAGCTTGTTGGAACTGTATGGAAAGAAAGATAAAATAAGCTTGATTATAACACATTACCTTTTAGTGTGTATACATTAACTTTACTCAGAAAACGTTTCTTACTGTCTGTTCCCAACTCTTACAAGTTCCAGATAGAGCAGTTATGAGCAAGCATAACATTTACTTAAACTAATTTTTCTGCCTAATATATTTGAACAATAATGATACCTCAATATAGAATATTTTCTGTAGTATTATATTCAACTAGCATTCTATAAGTCAGTCTGTGAACTCATTGTTTTTTTTTTTTTTTAAATATATTTTATTGATTTTTAACAAAGAGAATGGGAGAGAGATAGAGAGCTAGAAACGTCAATGAGAGAGAAACATCGACCAGCTGCCTCCTGCACACCCCCTACCGGGGATGTGCCCGCAACCAAGGTACATGCCCTTGACCGGAATCAAACCCGGGACCTTTCAGTCCGCAGACCGACGCTCTACCACTGAGCCAAACCGGCTTCGGCTGTGAACTCATTGTTACAGAAAAGAAACAAAGCCCTTCACCTGCCGGGCACTGTGTAGGCATTTTATTTTTATTTATTTATTTATTTATTTATTTATTTAATATATTTTATTGATTTTTTTATAGAGAGGAAGGGAGAGAGATAAGAGCTAGAAACATCGAACAGCTGCCTCATGCACACCCCCTACCGGGGTTGTGCCCGCAACCAAGGTACGTGCCCGGGACCTTACAAGCCGCAGACCGATGCTCTACCACTGAGCCAAACCGGTTTCGGCATGTGTAGGCATTTTATATGTTGAGGTGGGCAGTACCAATCTACTTCTATAAATAAGGAAATAAGGCTGAGAGGTGTCCCACTGCCCACTATCATATTGCTAGTAAATGGAAGAGCTGGGATTCAAACCCAGGTTTACCTGGCTCCAAATCCCACATTTTCCCTGCTAATATATATATTCCATTAGTCTCTCATTTAAATTTTTTATAAAAGATACTTGGTTTATCTTTCAAACAACAACAACAACAAAATCTAAGTTTTAGAATATAAGCCAGGTCATACAAATACATAAGCCTGTTAGTATGAATTATATAAGCAAAAATGACTGTACATATAAAAAGATGGTAAGTAAATCTACCGATTTTTATTTATTTAATTAATTTATTTTTTAAGCAATTTTTAAAAAAAAAAAAATATATTTTATTGATTTTTTTTACAGAGAGGAAGAGAGAGGGATAGAGTTAGAAACATCAATCAGCTGCCTCTTGCACAACCCCTACTGGAGATGTGACTGCAACCAAGGTACATGCCCTTGACTGGAATCGAACCCGGTACCTTTCAGATCGCTCTATGCACTGAGCCAAACCGGTTTCGGCAATCTACCGATTTTTAATATGCTATAAGAAGATCCAAGTTCTTTGTATTTCAGGGCAGAAAATCATATAGATACTAATATGCAGTAAAATTACACTAACAGACTATTAAAAATGAGAAATTTTGTGTTGTGAGGGCTTTAATCTCAGAATGTATCAAATTTGAACATCCAAATTAAAACAGGAAGAAATTTAATCAATTAGCATAGTGAGTCAGTATTTAAACTATTCTTTCAAGTTATTCTTATCTATTCATTAACTGAGGTCCTGTCAAGATCATCATTTGTTAGGACATAAAAATAAAAGGAATTATTAAGATTTTAAATTTTAGAAAAGAATTACTCATTCTTTTAGAAAAGAATTCTTCATAATTTTGAACTTGTGATATTTTACATAAAATCATGTTAACATGTCATGTAAGAGTTTACAAGACATTCAGCAATACACTGTCTAGGTTATAGTTTCTATTATCTAGATCAAAGCAATCAGCTGAAGATTTTTTAAAACAAATACTTACTGCTCCCAACCTGGTCGACCACCACCTGGACGAGCAGCATTTATTCTCACTGGACCTTGGAAGTAAAAATAAAAACAGTAAGTAAATATAATATTGTGTTTAGAAAAAGTTAAAGAAAAAATGTTCAAACCAGAATGATTATACTCACCAGTTGTAGGGATCAACTGTCCATGCAATAATGACTGTCCAAGCAAAGATGGGGTTCCAAGCACAGGCACCTGGTAACCCTTTCAGGAAAAAACACATAAATAAAAAAAAAATAGTTTTTAAAAAATAGTTAAACAAACGAACAAGCACCTTAAAACAGAAAAACTCTATGGGGGAGTGGGTGCTGGTTAGAAAGAGCGAGTGCCTTAGGTGGGGGAAGCCAGGACTCATGACGGAGGGACAGGAAGGGGCCATGACACCCTCCCACCAGTAGCTCCCCAGATGCTGGATCAGGAGGCCTTGCCCTGTGTCCAGAAAAGACCCTCCTGTGGTCTTTGTCTTGATCTTTCTTAATAAACGATGCTATCCTCCCAAAACAAACAAACAAACAAACAAACAAAAACCAAAAAACAAAACAAAAAACAGAAAAACTCTGTTAAAAAAAAAAGTACACAAATTTAAAAGCCAGTAAAACTTACCTTCTCCTCCATAAGAGCAGTAATTGCTATTGAAGAGGTTCCCTTTGAATGTTCTGAGGCAAGGGCTGCAGCTGGCAATATTTTATTATCGGGATCCCTAAAAAACAATAATTTACAATACACCAGAAAGTTATCAGACATGGAGGATTAAGAGTAAAAGTTACAATTGTTTTTCATTCTTTGCACTACGATGAGTTAAATCAAAGATGTTGAAAACTTCTGAGGAAGGTGAGAGACTGGACTTTTGGAATCCTTCACATACAAGTAAAAAGAAGAAACCTCCTTAAGAAGCACCATCAAGGATTTATGATGGATAATAAAGCTTAAAAAAAAAAAAGCTCAAAGTGTGGGAACACACACACACACAATATAGGATCAAGATTAAATTCTACCTCTAAATCTGCCAATAAATTAAAGGGGGCAATTTTCAGATAATCAATGAACTCTGGGCTTTATTTCCACTGTTAACCAAATGAAAGGCTAACCTACCTAACAGTGGGATTTCTTACATATACATGTGAAGGTCCCACACCTCAAGATTTTGCTTCAGTGTGTGTGAAACAGGCCCCTGGCATCATTCTATACACCAAAGGCTGTGTGTTCTGCTGCCAGCTGAGGCCTCTTCTGGATGCAACCCATTGATGGGTTATTTTTTCCTCTCTCTCTCCAACATCAATTACAAAAACCAAAAAAACCAACATATCCTCCGGTGAGGATAAAAAAACCCAATAACCGACAACTGGCTGACCTTTTAAGTATTTATGAACTGCTAGATTATATGGTCAAAGGTCACTTTTAATTTTTAAAGGAAATATTTGAGTCTTCACTACTTTTCTAAGTAATTATGCTCCAAAACAATGATCATTGCTGACCTCTCTACCTCTACCAATGTGCTATGCCCCCTTCCTTCGCCTTCTAAATTGTTCTTAGTTCTGCTCACATTTGTTCATTTCCAATACATTAGTATGACCACAAGTAAAGTGTCACCCTTGTGGACTACAGAGCTGTTATGGGATACAATTCAACATTAATAGGAGGTGTTGGCAACCTGCAGTTTTTTACTTTGGGATGTTCAATCACTGCTAATCAATCTCCATCTGCCTCTTTCTCCAATTAAGATCAAGCCATTTCTTACAAGTTCCCCACCTTGCTAAACACAGTGGTCCACAAGGACATACAAACTGCAGGTCACTAAAGCAACTATTAAAACAAAATACATAAAAACCACATTACTGTTCTCACTTGTTTCCTAACAATGGGAAATCCAGACTTACCGGAAAGGCCCATCTGATTTTTCTGAGTGGACCGATATGGAGACCGTTGCAGTTATATCAGGTACAGGCGCTGGGGTAGATGAATTTCCAGGCACAGCAGAGGCTAAGGAAGACTGATTAGAAGCTAATGAAGATATAGAGGGAGCCGGGTGACCTGAAGATGTCACTGGAATCATCAGAGGATCCTGTTGTCTTGATATTGGAGATCTCATCAGAGGTTGTAGATTCCGCTGCATGAGCGGTCTCGGAGGCGGTATTGGGGGTGGTGGTGGTGGTAACTGTTTCCGTAGTCTTTTTGTATAACCAGTTTCATTTTTGAAGTTATTAACAGCCTAGACACCAAACACAAAAATGCAAAAAATGTAATGCAGTGTTTATGCAAGTAGTTAAATCAATTAAAAGATTAAAAATTTTTTTTTCATAAAGTGTTATTGTAAAAGGAATAGAAAGACAGCTACCTGTCGTAAGAATTTATTGGCAATTAAAGCATCAGGAGAGACATCATTTTGATGACACGTTGGGCATGTATGGTCCTCTGATTCCAAGAGTGCTGTTCTTATACCTATATATAACATTTTAAATATTAATGAAAGTGTACTACTGTCCAGTTACGTTACTGTTTTCCAAGCACATATCACTAATCATTTCTAGTCTCTTGCCTCATAGCACTCTAACTTCTTTCTGCCTTAAAAACAGAAATCATGAATATAATTTAAACATTTATATTTTTTAAAAAAAGCATTCTTTCTCAAATATTTTTCTCTGTTGAGCTAATAATTGGAATATTACAGGAAAAATTAGTCTTAAAAAAAAAAAGAATTTATATGGCTTACTAGGGTTTTATAAGAAACAGAAGCGTTATTCAGTCAAAGAAACCAGAGACTTCTATAGCACAGTAAGTAGGAATAACAATGAATTACAGGTTCACTGATTATGTTCCAGTGTAGTAAAAAAAATTCAGTAACAAGTGGTTTGCTAAATCCAAGACATTCTCTGAAAGAAGTCTTAAGTGACCTCCTCTCTTGACCTTAGTCACTATGAGGCCCCCAAATACAGATTTATAGTTCAAAACTACCTTTAGAAATGAAAAAGGCCAGAGCAGTGAAGTTTTCAGATGGTAACATTTTTATTTCAGTAAAAAGGAACAAACTTAAGATGAGTGGCAGAAAATAAAAAAAGTGCAAAGTATCAGAAAGAAAAGCCATAAGTAACCACATGGCAAAATGTTAGTATTTATTTACAGAGAGGGGTTCCAAATCACACTTAGGAATTACCTTTTCACTTAAAGGAAGCACTTTCTGGCTTCTTTTTAGTGTATGTGAATTGCCAGCATCCCTACTCTTATGCTATGGGGCCATCATTAAATAAAATAAAGGTGACTTGAATACAAGAACTCTGATACCATGACACTAAGATGATAACCAATATAGCTATTAAGGGACTAATGGGAGGGAATTGGAGACACTGGACAAAGGGATGGTTCATGTCCCAGGTGGGATAAAACTGCTCAGCATGAGATTTTATCACGCTATTCAGAACAGTGCACAATTTAAAACTTATGCATTGTTTATTTCTGGGATTTCCCATTTAATATTTTCAAACTGTGGTTAACCCTGGTAAACTGAAACTACAGTGAAACCTTGGGTAAGAGGGAGGCCACATAAGATATCTTTCACAATCCAGAAAAGGGAATTAGTTAAAAATCTAAAGGTATTTGCAGATTACCTAAGGCCTGTCTGGTTTGGCTCAGTGGATAGTGTGTCAGCTTGCTGACTAAAGTGTCCCAGGCTCGATCCCCAGTAGGGGGGCCTGAATGAGGCAGCAAATCAATGATTCTCTCTCATCACTGATGTTTCTCTCTCCCTCTCTCTCCCCTTTCCTCAATAAAAAAATAAACTTATTTTAAAATAAAAAATTTTAAAAAGGGGGATAAAATGTATAGGAAACAAGAATCCTGCGTTTTCTAAAACCTCATCACAGCCAGTCACCCTGACAAAGGTATTGGTTAATTCAAATATTAAAAGGACAGAGAGGCTGTTGCTTAGAAAGAGAAAAATGTAACAGCAAAAGCTGAGTTCTCATTATTAAATGCTCAATAAATTATCAACATTTCATATTTTATTAAAATTCACAGTGTTGCTAAGTGCCTTTCCAAGTAAAACAGCTAAACCTTAAATGTGAATCTGAACTGCATGGGTCCACTTATACATGGATTTCCCTCCAATAAATAGGTACAGTACTGTAAAGATATTTTCTCTGTTATGATTTTCTTAATACCATTTTCTCTTCTCTAGCTTACTTTATTGTAAGAATATAGAATATAATATATGTAGCATACAAAATATGTATTAATTGACTTTTTTGGGCAAGGTTTCTAGTCAATAGTAGGCTATTAACAATTACGTTTTGGGGAAGTCAAAGTTATACTTGGATTTCTGACTGTGCAAGAGGTTAGTTTTAACGCCCCTAACCCCCATGTTGTTCAAAGGTCAACTGTATAATACTCTAAAATGTGTCTTCGAAGGATGAGCATGCCTTACATTCATCACAGTAGCTGTTTCCACAGCAGGGAATGACAACGGCATCGGTCATAATGTCTTTGCAGATGAGACACAGCAGCTCATCTGGGATAGGGTCGTCCTCTTCAGAAGACGAAGAGCGCTCCTCTGGTAAGAAAGGCGGCTTTTCCTTCTTCCCAATCGCATATGCTTCTCTGTAAAAGAAGGTTTTAGCATTTTAACACTGGTAAGAAGGAAAAGTATTTCTAAGACATTTACAAATTCCACTATATCCATAAGTCACTATGAGGGAACTTATGCTTAGTAAGTACAATGCCTAATTAGTTGACATGAGTATAGTATCTTCCAAAATAAGGGAGCAATTATTACTTTCCATCTAATCAACATAAAGACATAAAATCCTCAACAAGTATTCCAAAAGAAACAAAGAAATGCTAGGAAAGTGGCTGAAAGGATCTTAGAATCCACAGCTCTAAGAACTGAGGGCCAGAAGGTAAAATGACACATTCAGTGCCACAGAAGGATCACATTTTCCTACCCTACCAGGTTTCTGGGGGTAAAAAAAAAAAAAAAAAAAAAAAAAAAAATCCCTCCGCTGTCTAACAGTCCTCAAAACCTGTAAAGGTAATTACTGTGAATGCCATAATATGGGAAACTAAAATTGGTAAAATTAAGAGGAAATATTATGTCACCAACCTCACCAATAATTAGTGGCCAGTGATCTACTTATTAGTATTTTAAAAGAAATTTATCCATTTATAGTCAATTTTTACTTAAATAATTAGAATATGCTACAAAAATTTAAAGTAAAACCTGCCGAAATGTTGGATATTAAAAATATATTAAAAATAAAAAAATAAAAAACATGCTACTCTCAGACTCATCACCACTGCGTCCAACACCCCCATCTTCTCTGTAATCAGACTAACTTGTAAAACAGGAATTCCTAGAGAAATTTCCTATCTCATTAAGGAACAGAGTGTGTTATCTCAGCTGGACAGAGAAGGTACCTGAGGTGTGCTATTTGTGTTGCAGCTGCTCCATAGACATCACCACGATTCCAGAAATAAGTGTCAATTTGCTTATGCCCCACTGTTCCCAATTTGTGAAAGAGGAGTCTCCCACTGCCCGAGAGAGAAAAGAAAGAAAAAAAAAAAAAGAAAAAAAAAAAAAGGAGAGGATAGAAAAAGAAACAGAAGAAGAATCTGAGTTGCTTATTAGTGGTGTTAATGGAGAGGGTGAAAGTTTTAATTAAAATATTTGGGCTCCCATTTTCCCCAGCATTTGCTGCATGTTTGACATAAATGGGCTTTTTTTTTTTTTTTTTTTTTTTTTTTTTGTATTTTACCATTCAAAAACAATAAATTATTAATTCTGGTTCACAGGTGATGCTCATTTTTCAAACACAAATATCTATTTAAATACTTTATTTTTATATTTTATTAAGATGAAGCGGTCTGCTCTTAAATTATGTCTGTAAAGAATAATTTCAACCTAAAATTGGAAGCATGTATGAAATGTCTGAAATAGAAACAGCATAATAATAGGCTGCTCTAAAATGAACCATAAAAATACAAGATGGTAACCGATAAAAACCAGATGGGGGTGAAGTTAAGAAAGTGAGCAGGACTGGGAACTTAGGAAAACACTAATTCTTATCTGTGAACTAAAATGTTTACTGAAGTACCTACTCAAAAACACTAAATCTTTTCAATCCCATTCCATGGCATAGCCATTTTCATTGTCCTCCTCGGCTCACTACACTACTTTCAACAATATAGCAAGAAGCTGAGGAAAACTGTGTTCTTACATACAATACTTTTGTATGTCACTGAGAACAGGGACATCTTATTTTCTAAATTGAGATCTGTCAAGGCAACCTTCAGAATCTCCTGGAGGACCTGCTAGAAATGCAGCAGCGGTGGGAGGTGGCAGTGGCACGTGAGTGCCTAGACCACTCAACATAGAGATTGTTATGCACTATGAAGTTGTTCTCTAAAACAACACTTAATATTGTGCTGTGTGAGTTCACAGCTGTTGCAAGTGACAAAAAGGCAATTAGAAGCATTAGTAAGAGCACATAAAAGGGAACTTTTCTAGCTGAACCATTTCCCTAGGTTTTCAAGTCTATCTATTTCATTAAAAATTAGCTCACAAAATTAAATTTGAAAACTCATTAAAAACGAGCATTAAGGTATAGCTTATTGTGCTAGAGATGGCCTGAACTAATGGTTTACATAATAAACCATACTTTAGAATCTTAAGGCTCACACAGATAGCTCAGTGTTTCACTTCTTCTTGGCACTTACATTCATTTTGACATATTGCAGAGAACTTTTATTTTTAAGCCTCGTTTCTTAAAATAATTAAGATATTTGTCTTGTTAACTTAAAAAGTGCAAGTAGCATGTGAGCTTATGTGGCAGTATGTATGTGAATGAGGAAGAAAGCAGGGAATGACGAGAAAAGAAAAAAATTGGAAGACTACAAGGGAAGTGGCCCTCACTGGTAACAAAAGCCCCCAAACTCATTTTAAATATGCTTTAAATGGAGCAGACTGCAGCTTCTCATGCATAACACGGAAGTGGCCAAGTCCCAAGCTCAAGACAAAACAGAACACTAAACCTGGACCAACTGCAGTCCCTACAGGCCATATCTCATCTGAATACTCACGCATCTATAGTTGGTATTGCGTATTTCCCAGTGTTGGTGAGCATTGCCCCTTTCATGTTAGGATCTTTCACTTCCATCATGAAACTTCTGGGAATTCCAGTGCTCTTTTTAATCCTAGGACCAGATTCGAAGTTCTTATCCTTTTCAGAGACGAAAAGAGATGAGGAGGGAGAGAAATTTAACATTAGCTAACATGTAGTGTTTACTAACTACATATATTATTTACACATGATTTCCCTTAAGCTTCACAATAGCCATTCACAGGCAAAAAGTAATAGGCTTGGAGAAATTAAGTAATTTGCCCAACCTCACTCAGCTGTTAAGTGGCAGAGCCAGTATTTGAAGCCTGGCAATTTGGCTCCAGAGGCTGTGGTCATTTGCCATTATATTATAGAAGGCAGTATTTACCAAGAAAAATAAAATGGCTAATAAATAACTGTGAGAAAAATAAGCTGTCTCATGTTTTGTACTTTGGACTTACCCCATTTGTTGGGCAATTCTTAATATAATGGCCAGGTTTACCGCAGCGGAAACAGGTATAAGATGGAGGTGGTGGACCTAGGGGTTTCTTCATGTAACTGAAAGGGAGAAAAAATTATATGTATACAAAATCTTAGAAAAAATAAATAAATAGAGCCTCTGATTGGTGGAGAAATCCACCCTGAAGTCCCTATTTGTGCAAAGTACTTATGAACTTACTTGATTGGGTCGTATTCATGGCCAGATTGTGACATCATTGCTTTAATTTTATCTTCTTCAGAAGCATTGGCTTCAGCCAGATTGGCAGTCTGTTTAACAGGTAATTATTTGACACACACATTAGAAACACATCTAAGACCACACAGCCAAAGACAACACCACTCATCCTGTAAAGAGCAGTATCTAACCTTGCATAAAAACAGCTTTTTACACATAAGCCAGCGGTGGCACTGGGAGTTCCTCAGGTGTTTGTCTGTGGGACTGGAGTCTCTCTGGGGGCACTCGGACCTTAGACCCTGCTTGTACCTTGTGTTAAGATTTGCACACTACTCCCCTTAAGAGTTAAAAACAGATTAAGTTTAGAAAGAAACACTTGGTGTTTCCAACCTTAAAAATAATTCAAATGTCATAGCACTAAGACTATACTTTATACTTAAAACTGGGAGGTGGGATTGGGGGTAGAATAACTCAACACATTATGCAACTGATATTAAAAATCAGAAGGCTCTTTAGATAGTGCCAATTTAAAAGTGAGTACAAAGCAAAGCACATGCAATGAGCATTCAAAATTTTAAATCCAATGCTCCAAATTTTTATTGAGCTTTATCTTTAAGGTATATACAAATTTAGATATAAGCAGGGTCTAAGGGAGTTGAGTCCTAAATAGCTTGAATCTTCAGGCATCTAGCACTCTTATCATTCATTCATTGGGTTTTATCTTTACATTCATTCACAAAACAAGCAACCAGTTTTAACATTTTATTGTAATTTTATATACAAAGAATGCTTAACATTAACAGAGCTTAGAACAGCAACATTTACAGAAAACTTGATTACATGTTGAACTAATTTGTTTGAACCCAAACATTAATTTACAAATAGTTAAAAAAAAAATCCCCCAAACCTCCAAAACTGTTTCCCACAGAGAAACAATGGTAGGAATAGCCCAAATTCAAATATGCTTACAGTACATAGGAATTAAAACATTAACTTGTAAACTAATGATGTTAACTCTATGCTAAACTACTTTGTATTAGAAAATTAGGAGGACACTTTTAGCCCACTTTATATTCTAGAGTTATCAATTTTAAAGTTTAGTTTTTCCAGAAAAGGAACTAGGACATTTTGGGGGGTACATTCTAAGGGAAAAAGACACAACCTATAACAAAACCAAGGAAAAGTAGGAGAGCACCAATGGAAAACCCATCAACTCATTAATCTTGGTTGCTAAATTTGGTTTTATATTTCTGATAGTGGGGGGGGGAAAGATTTTTGGAAAACTTCCCTTTTGGCCCTTAAAAATCTGCCTATTTTGTAATAATTGCCTTTTTAAAAAAAGACATGATTTGCAAGATACTCTATTGTTTTTTTAAAAGTAGTCCATTACTAGTGCTTTCCCAAATAAAAAGTACACACTGTTAAGCAGAAAATGTAAGCAATCTTATAGCAAAACATGGCATATACAATGATTTCAGGAGGTAACATTTTGTCCCTCTGCCAAACATACACATTGGTATATTATTCCTGCGAACAGCTTTATACATCACAATTCATGTAGTCTGTGTTCAAACAAATTAGGTTGTTTAAAACGTTTTCTAATGCAGACAGACTACAAGTCTAGAGTATAAAGAAGCAAATGTATCACATTTAATATATTGACCTTCATGGGTTCAATCCAAATTTTCAAGAAAGAACCATGCAATCGTCCATGTAAAGGAAAGTTTCTATTTGGCTGCTTAAATAAAGTCCACATAATTTACAGCCAAAACCAAGGAATTCCTCCAGAACTTTGTTAGTTTCCAATGTATAATTAAACAAAATATATGAGGGGGGAAAAGTATGAGTAGCTTCCTTGTGTTTCTTCTGTCTTGAAGATGAAAATACTCCAAACATTGTGCTGAGGCTGACAAAATACTCCCCTATCTTCTCAAAACCACAACTACTCTTTACAGGATAGTAATAATACAACAATGTTTTTACAAGACATCCCCATCCCCAACCCCTCCAAAATAATTGTTGCACATAAAAATACGATGTTAGAAAAAGATTATTTTCAAGAATATATGTGTATATATATATATATATATACCTTTGTAAGCTGGGCCAGAGAAATAGACGCAGAAGAGTCATCAATCTGTTCACAAAAAATTAAACACACATTCAAGTTCCACACTGAAAACATCTAAAAGTGATCATTTAGTTCCCACTGCCACTTAATGTTTAAATATTGGCCATTTTCTTAGAAGTATTTTAAAAAATGTTATTTTCTAAAAAGTGTTTTAAAGCTGAAAGTGTAGCTTACTCCTCCTTTCCCTATGTATTTCACACAGTTATAAAGGCTAACAGTTGGGGGGGGGGGCTGAAGCACAATGGGAAAATGGGGTAAGTAAAAGTTTATCACACAGGCACTCAGTTCAGGCAGGTGACTAAATGCTAAGTAAGAGTTCCGTGTCTGTCAATGGTCTCTAAATTTGATGATGCTCAAGACAATGGACACTAGGAGAGCAAGAAATCTAACTTTCCTAGAATGTCGTTATGTAAATTGTAAAACAAGCAGTTCTTTAAAGGCTCAGGTAATCTTGAATAAAACACCTCCCACATAATTGTGACTTCTGATCTTTTTTTTAAGCATATACTGCTCAATCTAAATAAGTTTAGTCTCCCATACAGAGAGAAACAAATAGCTTCTTGATGAAGAAAACACAACTTTTTATCAGAGATGTTAAGCTAAACAAAAGGGAGAAACAAAAGGGCCCTGAGGCCAGGGCAAAAAGTGCTGATTCATTTGGGGATGATTTTAATATGTGAAGACAAGAAAATCAATCAAAGGGAGCAAGTATTAGAAATGAGATATAAGGGGGCTTTAATAAATGTGTTTTCAAATGTGATATTCTTAAATTTTTAATTATTTGGTTCCCTGATATGATTTTAATATCAGTTTCTAAAAAATATGATGTGCATATATGTACATGCACACACACATATCTTTAGCACATAATTGTGAAGATATAATTTCCTTACAGGTATACCCAAATGAAAGCATTATCTTTTTATTCTCTCATGCATTATTGGTTATAACTTTAGTTTAAAATGGAAAGAATGTAACAAGATGTCTGAATCAAAAAAGAAAACAAAAAACAAAAAAAGCAAGTCTTCATCAGGTATTTTTCAAGTATTCCAGAGAACTCAAGAGTATTAAAAACAGTATGATTTTTTTAAGCGTCTCCAACAGAAATGTAGCAAGTTTCAATATGAAGTTCTTAGCACAATGCCCACCACAGTAGGAATTCAATAAATGCAAATAAAAATGCTGGTTAAATTTAAAATACATCTTAAAAATATTTTAGGATTTTAAGTTAGTTTGATGGATGTTATTACTGAGATGTTTAAGTAAAGGTTCTTAGCTCTATCCTGAGGGACTCTAAAGAGTTCGTAATGCATGAATCCCACATTCCTAATACTCAACCGTATAATCCACCATTGGGTCCTCACCATTGTCCAGCTCTTAAACTTACTTTCCTAATATAACTAATCTCAAGGAGCAAGCTAAAATTTTTTTTTGAAGGAATTTACAATATCCTATTTTTAGCCAGAATAAATTAACCCAGTCAATCTGTTTTAAAGAGGGTTACATTTTACATCAACTAGGAATTGTTTGAACTTAAATAACAAGAAATGAATAAACTGTCACCCAACATCTATATACTATACTATTCTTCTAACCAATAAAACAAATAACCTTTAAAACAGTCCTTGATCATTTCCTTAGGAAGTAAATCAGTTATATTAACTTTCTTATTGCTGGAACTGAAAAACTAACATTTTTGTTCATCTCACTCTAACACTTAAAAAATATAATGTCTTTTTGTCCTTATGCCAGGCTTTCTTGTCCTTTCTTTTTAGCTTTCTGCCAACCTGTTGTTAGTATTGGATATTTATTGGGTTGAAAGTGGTTTCAAATATTCATTGACATATAAATAACTTTGTTCCACCAAATAATCACCATAGCATCTAAATATTTTATAATTCACAAGGAGGTCAAATGTACCACAAATTTAGAAGGGTATCTAATTGTTTTCTACATGTAGCAAGGTACGAAAAACTGAGAATTACTGACAAGGAATGGTTTAAAAATGACTAGAAATTTATGTGTTCTAAACATCAGTAAATACAGTAACTCTCAGATACTATTAATAAAAACAAATTCTGCCACATTAAAAGTCTTCAAAACAACTGTTTGATGCATAACTGTGGACATAATTAAGACACCTCCCCACATCTAATTTGCGGTCTTGCTTCCAGGAGCAAGATCTAAAATCTTCAATGCGAAATACAATTGCTTGAAATTAAAGGACCCTAATACAATGTAATTCTGATGTTCAGTTTGTAGGAAGAGCACCCAGTTTTGGAGTCTCAACATGGAAGGACAACTAAGTAAACAAAGCTGAAGAGTACAGACAGATATAGCCAGTCATCTTTGATTAGAGATGGCCAAGTTACCAAAATGTACATACATTCACTTCCACTAATCAGAATGTAAAAACCTGGTTGAGTGATTTTTATCTTACTTGGTTTTTGGAACAATACATGTGATTCTTAAGTTTCCTAAGATGGGGACAAATTAACTTGTTGAGGCTCTTCTCTCACCCTAAATGTCAGCAAATGTACCCCAAGCTAAATGCTAAGAGTTCCGTGTCTGGGGATATTGTTATCTAATGTCTCCATTTCAGATAATCCTACCTAAAAAATTAAAACCACTTTTAAAGTACTAAAAAAACAAAGAAAGAGAAACCTAAATAAGCATAAAATAAGCTGCTTCTTTTAAATGTAATACAGACATGCCAGGGAACACACAAGGCTAAAAGAATGTTAACTTTATTTATGAACATGTGATTTGTGTTTATACACATGCTAATAAACAAAAAGGAAATAACTGTTTTCAAGAAATAAAACTTCATCTGAATTAGTTTAAATACTATATAAAATGTACTTTATATACAAAATGTGTTACATTAACTACTACAGTCACCAGGATAGTCATCTATTTTGTGCTAGCATTTGGATACATTTAAAAAAAAATCAGTTTTAAACCAATCACCAGCAAAACAGAAATGTGGACAGTTTTTACAGCTTAAAAAAAACAAAAACCCATATACCCCCAAAGAGGGGGGGCACCCCAAACATGAGTTTGGAATCACTGTATTTAATTCCATGGGAACTAAAGGCCAAAGTTCAGATTTGCTATGTTATGTTTAAGATCCAATGATCCAAGGTTAGTGAAATGCCTAATACACAATTCAAGATCAGTATTTAAAAAGGATAAAGTGAATCAGCAAACAGTACCCTAGAACTCTAAATCAAGATTTCAGACATCTTGTGTATAAATCAGCCTGAGCAGTCAAATGTTTAGAGAACCATCCAGTTTACAGAACCAATTACTGCAGACCTGTGTTTGGAAACAGATGCTTCACCCCACAACTGAGGACTACTACTAATTATTAGCTCAAAGTCAAAATGGTGTCGTACTTCAAGTTAATCTGTGATATAATTAAGACGTTACCCTGGTTGAGGGTAGTTACCTCTGATAAGGTACAGTTCTCAATTAGCTTATTATTTTATGAGAAAAAGGGAAATATTTTAATTTGGACAACTGAGCAAACTGGAACTGAAAGATCTTATATTAAAATTTGAAAATTTTCATTGTACTCAATTGTGTAAAATCATCAAAATCATTAGGAGACACTGATATCCTGGTGGAGGGCCCAATTTCAGGTTTCATTTTAAATTAAGGACAGAAACAATGAATAGGAGCTCAAAATTGCCAAATAAAGCAAAATTAAATAATAAAGCTGCATCAATGGTCTCTGGAAAGCTTTCTTCTCTGATGTATCTGAACTTGGAGAAAGCATCAAACTTTAATATGGAGCTTTGCATGTTGCTAACCCCCTTTTAAAAGCCATCCACGAGGCAGAAAAAAATAACCTAACAAAAACTAAGTGATACAATGTGAAAATGGCAAAATATACACTCCAAACATTTTTTTATTGCAAGAAACAAAAAGCACACAACAGCCTGTACATACATACAAAATACTAACTATAGACAGACAGATGCAGAACATGTTATCATGTTCAGTAATGTAAAACCTACATGATCTAAAAAGGATCATACATTAACTGTACAACACAGTGTCATACAGGGTTGCTATCATTTAATACGAAACAGTGTTTTGGGGCACAAATTACCCATTTCTACAAAGTAAGTGTGCAAATTATGCCACATATATCCAAATTCAACTGAGCTGTCATCAAAATACATTTTATTTACAATATGTGCTATGACCAGTTGGATATTAAGGTCTAATATGATTTAGTTCACTGCAACATTATAAAGGTAAAAGCAATGTGTAGAAAAAGTGTGAGATTGTGTTTTTACATACTGCTTTTGAAGTTCCCATCACTGGTTCAGTTCGACTTCTAAAAAACAAAAACAAAAATAACATTAGCTCTCTGAGCAGCTATTTAGGATTTTATCTCTATCACACTTTTGCAGGACAATTTTCCTTTGGGACAAAGATTTACAAACAGCCAATTTCCAAAAAATACACTATTTTAATCAATCTTTACCACCTTTGAACACTATCAGTTTAAAATGCATTTGTGATTAAAAAAAAAAATCTACTCTGGAGGCCTGCCAGGAAAGATGGATGGCATTTGAATGAAAATATGTTCATTAGAATAATGGTCTGAGAAATTTAAGTATGAGACAGTTACTAAGAAAATGTCCCATATGATTCCCACACTTGACAATCAACCTCTGTAAACTTACATGCCTTTTGACTTATTGCCACTTACAATAGTTTGGTCTATTAAGAATTATTCCTATTATTAAACTTTTCCCCAGTTCTTAATAGATACAGATGTAAATTTTCACACATCAGATTTTCTTAAAGCAAGACCATCATTAATATTTGTAATTTGGATCCCTGAGAAATTGTTGTGCTCCAAAAACTGGATTTCAAATCCAAGGGGTTGATAGTAAAACAAAAATTATGAATTCCAGAAAAATACAATGTAGTTTGACAGAGTATTTTAGTCAAAAGAATTAAATGGTTATGGATAATTAGATAAGTTAATTTTTAAAGAGCACACAAACCCCAAAAGAAAAATTTTTTTTCTAGGTCTCACAGGAAACAGACCAGAGGTTCAACTGCTAAAATTAGTTTTAATTTTAGTTTTTGTTCATGCTGTCGGGACTATTCAGAGATGTGTAGAATCAAATGATTTGTACATGATTTGGAAGTTCTGAGGTAAAAATAAAGTTTTCTTTTTCTAATATTTGTTCAACAAACTCAAGAGGCATTTTATGAATCAACTATATTACAAAGGAAATCAAATCCATAGTGAATTAACATGCAATTCTCTAACAGCCAACTTATTTTTTAATGTACTTCAAATAATTCCCCGAAAGTTTTTGAATATATAAAAAAGTAAATCTAAAACTCAATGTTTTTATAAGGTTTACACTAGATTATAGGAATTAATTTTTTTCCTTATTTCTTAAGATTACACACACAAAAAACCCCACACATAGTTCACTTGGTATTTACAGCAAAACAAACAATCAAACAAACAAACAAAAAAAACCTAGTCTTTTAAGTTGTTAATATATAGAAAATATTATACAAAAGGACTTCCAAATGGAATGGAACTTTAAAACAATCAGAATAATCTGTAAGAATGAATTCTTGCCCACACAAAGTGAAGCTCTAAGAAACGATTGTACCTCAATTCTAAGGACACATTCCACTTCCTAGGAATGATAAATTAGCAAATTCAAGAATTTTTTCATTAACCAAAAGCAGAATTTGCCATAATTATAAATAAGGCTACCTAACTCCTAAGGGGAAATCACAACCCTTTAAATAGCCCATGAGGCCCCTTGTCCTGTTTGGTCAGTTGGCTAAGTCCTTGGTGGGCAAACTGCAGCTCGCAAGCCACATGTGGCTCTTTTGCCCCTTGAGTGTCTCTTCCACAAAATACCACAGCCTGGGCAAGTCTATTTTGAAGAAGTGGCGTTAGAAGTTTAAAAAATTTGGCTCTCAAAGAAATTTCAATCGTTGTACTGTTGATATTTGGCTCTGTGGACTAATGCGTTTGCCGACCACGGGCTAGGTGTTACCCGGTGCACCAAAAGGTTGCAAGCTCAACCTCTGGTAGACAGCATGCAGGAGGCAGCAGACAGATGTCTCTCTCCTCCTTCCCCTAAAATCAATTTTAAAAATATTTAAATAAAATAAACAAATGGCCTAAGTAGCTGTCCTTTTCATATATTATGATTTTGCTATCACCATTAAAATAGCAAGAAATCCCTAGCTCTAGCTCTGGCTCAGCAAGCAGATAGGGCGTTGGCCTGTGGACTGAAGGGTCCCAGGTTTGATTCCAGCCAAGGGCAAGTAAATGCCTGGATTGCAGGCTCAATCCCCAGTAGGGGACGTGCTGCTGAAAGCAGCCAGGTCAATGGTTTTCATCACTGATGTTGCGCGCTCTCTCTCTCTTTGCCCCCTTCCTCTCTGAAATCAATAAAGAAATATATTTTAAAAATAAAAGTAAAGTAGCAGGTACAGAAAGTTACAAGATATAAAATGTTAACCCTGCCTCCTTGTTAAGCTCCAGACTAGTCCTAAAGTATTGCTGTTTTGGTCATGACCATTTACCAGTCACTTTATTCATATCCTCATTTCATTTTGAGAATTCTAAGGTACAGACTTTAACTTACCCAAAATCACAAATTAGTGAGAAGCAATGAGTATAGTCAAACTTAAGTTTGATTCCAGTACCTGCTCAAAAATCCTATAAACTCTCTACCCTCCTGACAAAACCCCTTTTTGATGAGGAGCAAATGTTGGCATTTAATACTCTTGATGTCGACAAAATATTTAGCACAGATTTCTTAGGAAACTCATATATATTTTTTAACAGTAGGTGGAAAAAATAAAGTGTAGAGGCAAAGAAGGTACAGAAATACTGTTCACTGTTTGAACATCATTTTGTCTTTCTAAAGAGTACCTATACAGAGCAAAAATCTTCCTAATGGTGCTTATTCCTAACTACAGGTTAAGTTAATCTACCTAGGGGAAGAAATCAGGAAAAACAAACCAATCATCAGTTTTAATGACTGAGGAGATATCCGAGGTTAGGTTCTAAAACATCCCTGTTTCTTTCTCATACCAAAAGTCTATTATTTTGAGAACTTAAATACACGAAATTGATACTTACATAACGTATGTCTTGCTTGTAGATTTAACACCGCCAATAGGAATTCTTCTAACAATTACAGATGAATTCTTAGGAATCAGGGCATTATCATCAGTATATTCTGTAAATAAAATGATAGAAATGAATTTCTATTTGGGGATTTGGGTAAAGTCACAGTCCTCAAGAATTAGAGGACTTCAAATATGAATTTTATGGGAAATAAATTTAAATATAAAAGAGCATTAATACTATATTCCTTGCATCTGGATTACTGATATTGTCAGAAAAAATATCCAAAGCCGTAAGGGACTCCTCTTCAAAGGACACAAATTGTCAATTGGTTCTTGGCCTGGGAAAGTCCACTTTTGTGGACCCCCAAATTTAGTTAATTTAGCCACTAATGCTGAACATCTGAGCTATGAAAAAAGCTGTTGTTTATAACAAAGAAACTCTCTCTCTCTTAGCCCTTAAAGGTAAGTATTACTGGAGGAGATTAAAAATTTAAATTGCTGTGTTTAAATACAGAAAAGGTTTTGTAATAAAGAATTAAGTGGAATGCAACTTAGAATAGAATGTTGGTTCAAGGAAATAACTGACATTTGAGACTTAGAAGACTGAGAGGCCATCCAGATGCGCAAAAGGCTGTTTCAGATAGAAAGGAAAGCACTTGGAAAAATCAGAAAGGCTGAACAGCTGAAGAAAATGAAAGAAAATAATGTGAAATACAGGCAGAAAGGTACTTATCATACATTGAATTGTATTTTGTTTCTAAATACAACAGAAAGTTATTGAAGGATTTAAACAAAAACAATGAAAATTTTGTTAAAAACAAAACAAAATGATAACTCTGTTATCTAAGTGGAGCATGAATCCATAGAGAAATAAAAGTAGAAACAGACTAATAGGGCCACTGCTGTGCAGTCCAGGTAAGAGATAAGGATGGCCTGGGCTGGGATATGAGAGAGAAATGGAGTCAGAATGTTTGAGGCAGAACTGCTAAGGCTGTGGATGAATTGAATTGGGATAAGGTGTGTGTGTGTGTGTAGAAGAAACAAGAATTGGGCATGAATTTGAGTTCCTGGTTTAAACAACTGGATGAACAGTGATATCAATTCCTGATAAGACAAATGGGAACATTAGTGAATCCTATTTTTCTACTCTTTTAAGTATTGTTGCAATTATTTCTCTAAGAATAAAATTTAAAGAGTAAATGGACCAATGAACTTAACTATGGTAAAAAAGAGTTGCTAAGGAAGGAACTAGTAAAATTACCAAAAAGAAAAATAATCCAATACAGGGAGAAGGATGAGAAAATGTACTCAATTTCCTTAATCACACAGACAGACATTAGGGTTTACTCTGCTAAGGTTGTGAGTTTACTTGTTTCACATAAGTTACCACCAAGTGACTGACTTCCAATTATTTCAAGTTTGTCACATATCTAAGCATTTTCATTTATATATATATATATAAAATCAGTTCTATTTTTTTAAATCATAGTACTATTGGTATTTCCTGTTATGAACTAAGTTGTTCAAGAAAGGGTTATTTTCAGTATATTTCAAGCAGTAGGCTGTATCTCACAGGTATTCAGTTAGAATGATGCAATTTCCTAGATCCAGGAATACCAATATAAGCCTATCATCTTGCAGTTTATGACAGTTCCAGATTCTAAGCAAGCTAAGAAATACTGGGAACAGAGATGGAGAATCTTTAAAAAGCAAATTCTAGAATCAAAACTTGGTGTCAAACACCTGACAGTTTCTGAATGTATAACAACTCTCAAAAGTGTTCAATGGGGAAAAAATAGCAAATGTGTTCACAGCTTTCTAGGACAATTAATCAACAAACTGCTGTGTCAAACTAAAAGTTAGGTGCCCTAATACCAGTCACTGTAACTGACCTTTAATTTTTATGTACCTAAATTACATCAATGATTTTCTACCCTTTAGTAGCCTATTAACTTCAAAAGACTCTCTCTATACACCAGGATAATTTTTAATCCAAAAACATATACATCATGGATGGAATGAAAAACAAGAGCATTTGAGAAATGAAGGAAAATGTATAATAAGAGTATTTTAAAAATACTTCACCCTCAGCTTCCAAAGCTTTTGTAGTTAAGTTCAAAGGAAGATTTTTTTTGTGTGTGTGCGTGCGTGCGTGCGTGTGTGTGTGTGTGTGCAGAAACATAGGTAAATAGGTTACATAAATTATATAGGAAAAGCATACAATCTCCTGTTATGAAGCTATAAGCACTTATTGGGTACTCTTTAATTCACTGGATGGTGCTAAAACTAAGGGGGACTCTTACTCAGCTGTCTCGTGACACTGGATACTATTTCCAATAAAACTCATTAAGTGACTGTCCTCTGTACTACAATATTTCTCCCCTAATGTGAGGATGCAAAGAATGCAGACTTCCTCCCCAGGAGCTCCTTCTCTTACCCAATCTAGTATCAAAGCTCTCTCTAATAAGGACAAATACGTAAAATAAAGTTCACACAAGTTCACACAAATACGTAAAATAAACATGCTGTTGGGCCAAGAAAGCATTCCTTTTTCTTTCAGCGTTTATCAAAATAAAGTACCACATAATTTCCTGGCTTAGAAAAAAAATAACATATCACTAAAGTCTTAAATTTTGAACAAGAATTCCATCACCTTACTCCATCAAATTCACTCCAGTCTAACAAAGTTGTGTTCAATTATTAGATGGAAAAGATGGACAAAGTCTAGCCCCAAAGAATTAAATTGTGTAATATTGCAATAAAATATGAAGCTTGCATAGTATCTAATGATTAAAACTGACTTAATATTCTTTAATTCCATTTGTATTGTCTTTCATTCATAAGTACCATTCCCCTATCAAGATGGCCTGAAATTCTTATAAAGTCACCTGTTCTGTAAAGTATAATATGTAAGGAATGTTTTTGGTGGCCTTAAAGAAAAAGTAATTCCCTTAAAGTATTTTCTTCAATATATTTTTTTAAATCTTTGGGTTTTTTTTTTTACTTTATTTTTTGTTTGAAGTATTACAAATAGTAGTACATATGCCTCCTTGTTGCCCTCCTTGACCCATCCCCAGCCTCTTAATATTTTTAAAAGCTGTTTTTCAAACCTTCGTGACCACCAGTTTTTCCTCTCCTAAGTATAGAGATGCTACACATAATTACAATTACCATGGCTCGCATGAAGTGTCCCTTAAGTATGAAACTATTTTTAAAGGTGGGGAAACAGCTTATTCTTTCACACATTATCATGTGAATAAATAAAATTCTTTTTTAATGAATATTTTGGAGTCATGATTGCCAATAGTGCTGTTCCTTAACACAATAATACAATCATTCTTAATATCGGATATAAATGAAAAACAGCTCTTTACCATGACAAGATATTCTATCTACCAAACAACAGGCTACAAGTGGGGGACTCCCCCCTCCCAATTGCAATGAAAAGAGCCCTTGTTACCATAAACCAAATTTAGTAATCAAGAAAAACCCTAATCTAATTAGAACTTCGCTCAATTTCTTCGGATGCCATCAATAAAACTCAAATGACTGACCATCTGAAAACTACAGATCAGCATTACAATACCGAGAAAAAGAAACCAAGTCAAGTTCAGTCAGAACGTGAAAGGGTCATTTATCACATTTTCAGTATCTACGGTTAAACTCTCATTATTAAAAAAAAATGCATATAAAGTAAGAGTACATCACATGTACTCATATGACAACAGCCTATTGTTTTTCAGTATCCTAACATCAACATCACAGTCTAACAATCATTTTTTTAAAGTCTTTTTTAGATCTAGTAAAAATGAACAAAGAGCACAGCCACTTATTAGTGTATTACTAATTCTGAAATTTGCACTCAAGACTAAAGCAATTTAATCCAGTTGCAGACTGGCTGGATTAAATCCCCCTAAATGTTAAAGTGAGGCTCTCTTCTCTACAATCAAGACAATTCCAAAGTTAAACTAGACAGACAGGAGAAGGAAGAAAAGTACAAAATTTGCCCCCAACAGTAGTCAGGTTATGAAGTTAAGAGAACTAACAGTGAGTGGGGCAGCTCCCAAAGAACCCCTAATCCTCTCCCACCCAAGCCTTTTCCAAACATCGGAGAGGATTAGGCTGTTTCTGATGCCCGAGTGCACCGAGCAAGCACAGCGGCTCAACTCCGAGCCCGGGCTGTCCCGCCAGCCTCCGGCCCCGCCAGAGCCATGATGGCGGTTAGTCTTCGGCTGGGAACCTCCCCACCGGCCGCCTCCGCCGTCTCCGCGTCCATGTGCTCTTACCTTCCTTGGTCTGCGCGTTGGTGATCTGCAGGTCGCAGTCGGCAGCCTTCAGCTTCTCTCTGCCCATAATCTGCTTCTTTAGGTCGCAGAGAGAGATGTGGAGCCCATCAAAGGTGACCGTGTCATAGTTGAGTTTGGAAGAGAATTTATAATGCACACAGGACATGGTGCCTAAGTTCGGCGAGGAGACGTGGACACGCTCAATATACGTATATTTATAAACTTAAGAGCAGAATATGTACATACACAGAACACAAGACACCCAAGACCGAAGGCCTCGGGTTAAACACCCCCTCCCACACGGGGGCGAGAGAACCGCAATCCGGACCCGACCTCCGAATCCCTTCATGTGCAGGAGGGCGGACGAGGGCGGGAGGGCCAGGGGCTCCGCCAACGGGCACCGCGTCACCCGGCCGGGTCCCCCTCGCTCATGCTAGGGGCCGGCGGACGGAGCAGTCAGTCGCGGTCAGTCCACACGTTACAAGTCCGAGCGACCCGGCGGGGTCAGGGGTCCATAGTGCAGCCGCACCTCCCGGTGGCTCTCTCCGTGCTTTGGGTGACCCGGGCCCCGCGAGAAGCCGCGGGGAGAGGGCCTAGGCCCGCAGTCCACCAGCGGCCTCTCGCCTCCTCCTGGCTTGCGGACGACCGGCGTGGCTCCCAGGCCCAGGCCCGCCCCCCCCTCGCCCCGACTCCGGCTCCCCGAAGGCCTCGGCGCCGCGGCCTAGGCCCAAACGCGCGGTCGGCGGCGAACAGGCCTTCCTTCGCAGGCCGCCGTCACCCCCCGCCGCAGCCGCCAAGCCGGCGGCGGGCCTCCACCCGGCTCCGGGCGCGGCCTCACCAGCTGGGCCCCGCCGGCGGCCGGGGGGCTTCGGTGACCTGGCGCCGCCGCCGCCGCCGAGGCTCCGGGACGCTTCCTCACGACGAGTGCTCCGCGCTTCGCTTGCCTTCCGCTCCCGTCGCTTCCAGGCCCAGAATGACGAGCGGGCGACGGCGAGGGCTTCCTTTATGTCCCGCCCCGCGCCGCTCCCAGGCCCTCACTCGGAGGCGGCGACACATCCACACCAGTCAGTATGGCGGACGCGGCCTGACTCCAGCGAGCGCCCACTCCGGGGTCTCTTAAGCAGGAACTGCACGGGCGGCGCCTGTGGGCGGGGCCGGCGTGCGCGCGTCGGCGGCGGGGGGCGGGGCCCGCGGCGTCACAAAGCGCACTCTTCCCACGTGACCCCGCGCTTTGTGACGCGGAGCGCGGAACCGGAACCAGCCGAGAGAGCGGAAGAAACCATCGGCCTCAAAGGGGGGGGGGGACTGGAAAGAGGGCCGACTCATGAGGCGGTTCTGGGAGGGGAGCTCAGATTTCAGCAGCTATTACCAGACTAGTTTGCGCCACAAAGAAGGGTTCCGAGGGATGCCCGCCTAACTCCCCTTGCCTACAATCCCCTACTCTTCCGAGCCTCCCAATGTAGGTAAACATTCTGGTTGCTATACACCTCCCTAACTTAGCCTTTCAACAAACTCGGTACCCTGAGATAGTCCAATTATGAAGCAGCCCCAGGGTAGAATTTATAACCACTACCATAAATTTTTGGGGGACACCCTGTATTTTGGGAGGTGAGCACACAATGCAAGATTACAGATGTGTTATAGATCCATAATCTTGAAACTGATATCATTAACCACTGTCACCCCAATAAATTTAATTTCTAAAAATTTCCATTTAAAAAAATGTTACTTGACCCTGGCTGGTGGCTCAGTTGATTGGAGTGTCATCCCATACACGAAAAGGTCGTGGGTTTAATTCCTGATCAGGGAACATACCTACATTTTGGGTTTTATTCACTGTCAGGACAAGTATGAGAGGCAGCCAATTCTCTGTCTCTGTCTCTCTAAAAAAACAAAAACATCTCTTCTGGTGAGGATTTTTTAAAAAAATGGTACTTGGTTTACTGGTTTGCTATGAGTTAAATAAATGAGTACATTTCCATTATTTAGGACCATGCCGGGTACATGGTTCAGTGTGTCAATAAATGTGATTCAATCAATGTCAGTTTAACACCAACAATAAACCCAAAGTGGTCAGCACTACCATTATCTCCAATTTATAAACGAGGGAACAAAAACTAGCAATCATGAACTTTCTGAATTCCCACAATCAGGGCAATGCCTGTTCAGTGCCAGGTCCGAAATCTCATTTCTAATTATAAAAGCCGGGAACTGTGCCAATAATCCCCTCAGTGGATGAAATATTTTCCCTTGGAGCATGGGGGTGTTATTATTACATCTATAAAACTTATAATATAATAAACTGTAACACTCACTATCACTTACGATTCGTAAGTGATAGTGAGTGTTACAGTTTATTTCTTTCTCTCTGAGCCAGTTTTGAGAACAAGGTCAAACGGCCCAGAGGTGGCCAGGTTTGCTATGGGCTTCCGAATCCCCACTCCAAAGCCCTCAGTGACTGTTCTCCGTGACTGAACTCAGCTTAAATCCATCAGCATCTTGTCAGAAAAGTCTTCCTAGGGCGACCTGATCTGCAATCGAAGTAGAGACAGCCTCGGAGATAGAGCAGACAGCAGGCATCTATTCTGAGAGGCTCCAACATTTGCTGTTTGACCTCCAAAAAGTAACGTGGCTTCTGTGGCCTTGGTTCCAATAAGGCCTGTCTCCCGGGCCCGGTGTGGCTGCGTGCAGAGCACCCAGTGCCTGGCTTCGCCTGGCTTCGTCCCCTGCTGCTGCTGTCTTGGCATTCCTCATCATTTTCATTTCCATTTCGCTCTGAGCCTCACAAGTTATGTGGCGAGTCTCAGTCAAATAGTGCCTTCCTCGAAACAGAAGCGGGGGTTGGGGGCGGGGCATGGGAGATGACACTCAGTGGGCGCAGTTTCAGCTTTGCCAGATGAGAAAGTTAGACATTTGTGTACCAAAAGGTGACTACATTTAACGCTACTGAGCTGCCCATGTAAAAGGTTGAGATGGGCAGTTTTACATATGTGTTTTTTAATAAAAGGACAACAAACACTCCCCAATGCTTTCCGATGGGGTTATGAAGACAGTTCCTGGCAGTGCCTGGCACAGAGGCACCAATGGAGTGCTGTTGGAAGGAAATCCAGAGGCCGGTGTGGAGGTGCCTCTTTCAGGTGCTTCCCACGTGCATAAACGTAACACCACAGCCATGGCTGGCATCCACCAAGGCTTCCTTTCACCACGCCCTGTGCCACGCAGTCTTCCAATTCTCCCGAGAACCCAGTGGGTAGCTCTGCTCCATCACCATTTTATAAGCTTGGCAACAAGGTTCAGAGAGGCGAGGTCACGTGCCTGAGGTCGCACAGGAGCCCGGGTGTAACAGGGCTGCTGGCTGGGAAGGGCATTCCCCGTGCATTGACTAGGTTAGGGCCACGAAGGAAGAGCTCCCTCTCTGGGTGCCAGGGGCAAGCTGGCCCACTGCCCGTTCGCCTCCCCGTCCCTGCTTACCCTCGGTTATCTCTGATCTCCTGCTTTTGTCTGTCCCCATTTCCAGATTAAGTTCCGGGCGGCGGGCACCTGGCAGGAACCGGGGCGCATGTGGGGAGCCCTGAGGACGCTTGCTCAGTGGCCGTCTGGCTCCTCCAGCGGCGACAGGCCTGGGAGATGGAAGCAGGCAGAGGCCTTCAATCTCCCTCGCACTCTGGAAGGTCCCTGGAGGACGTGCCAATGGGGTGCCCTTGCTTACATAGGCCTCTGCTCAGGCTTGCGCACCCCCTCACCCACTCTGTGCCCCCAAGTCCTGGCCCTGGCTATGTGCTGCCTCCTGTGTCGTGCACTCTCTCCTTCACCCTGACCTGTGAATGAGGCGCCATTCTTCTCCGTGGGGCACAGGGAGCCCAAGGTCGCAGCTGGTAGTGATGGAGCTAGGCTTCATCCCAGGGGGCTTCCCTTCCCTGCCAGGACCCCTGAGGTCCCACCTGTGCCTGTCTTGGCTATACCTGGCCTTGGGTCTGCTCTTGGAGAACACTGGATGGTGGTGGTGGTGGGGGGGTATGAGAAAAGCATTCATTCATTCACTCATTGAGTGACAGCGTGTCCCTGGCACGATCTGGGCTCTCAGTGCCGCAGCGCACACGATGGCCCAGGCTTCTGCCAGCCTGGAGCTTCCTTCTGTGGAGGGAGACGCGGGAAGCAGCTAGACCAGCAGGCGAGGACATGGCCGCAGCATGCGCTAGTGTATGAAGAAAATGAAGCAAGTTAGCGACATGGGGCCTGGAGGGCGGGGCGGGGAAGAGCTGGACTGTCAGGAAGGGCCTCTGGAGGGGGTGACGCTGGAGCTGGCACTTGAATGACAAGTGAGGTGAGGTCCTAGGGAAGGAGGTTTCTGGGTGGAGAGAATGACAAGTGCAGGAGTCCCGAGGTGTGATGCAGGGACAGTCAGGTGGGGCTGAGTGAGGGTAAGGCGGGCGACAGGGCTTGCGCCAGAGGAAAGGCAGGGGCCACATCCTGAAGGATTAGCGAAGCCAATGGAACAACTTTTGACTTGAGAGAGCAATATTCTAGGAAGGCGTTACCCTTCGGGACAACCCTATGCTATTGTTCTGGGCCAGTGGTCGGCAAACTCATTAGTCAGCAGAGCCAAATACCAACAGTACAGTGCCTGAAATTTCTTTTGAGAGTCAAATCTTTTAAACTTAAACTTCTACTAACGCCTACTTCTTCAAAATAGACTCACCTAGCCCGTGGTATTTTGTAAAAGAGCCACACTCAAGGGGCCAAAGAGCCGCATGGGGCTCGCGAGCCGCAGTTTGCCGACCACAGTTCTGGGCAGTTTGAGAATGGGGTGGGTACCATGGCTTCTTAAGACCCTAGTGACTGCTGGGCCATAATGCCCTTCGGCACATCCTGGATTTTGAAGAGGCGGGAGAGCGGGGGATGCGGGTGCGGTCTGTTTAAAAGGCAGAGGTGGGGTGACATACCACGCGTGGCTCATAGTCTTCCCCAGGGCCACGTGACCAGGACTGTGGCTTCAGGCAGGCGGGAGGATGGGCCCCAGGCAGCCCCTGCAGCTCCTGCAGCCCGCTCTCCCTGCCGCGCAGGCTGGGGACAGGTCGGTCAGGAGCCGGTCGGGGGTGACCTTGACAATCTCGGCTTGCGACTTGGCAGCGGGCCCCCAAGGCCCGGGAGGAGAATCCTTCCTCT